AACTATGTAAAGTGAATGACGGATTGATTGTTTTTTAAATTTGGTGCTGTGACATTTTCTATTTGTAAATAATAATGTAATGAATAAATACGTTATTAAAAAAAACATTTAAACTTGTACTTGAAATGAGTGTGAATGCAGACTTCGTCTCGTCGCTATATGGCTGAAATAATGCTCAACTCAACTCCGCTCTTGTCTTTGACGTGTGACAGGTGAAGGTCCGGGTTAGACTATTGATCTTCAGTAACCCATACTTGTAAGACTAACGAATGAGTGGTCAAGCTTGCTGACTTGGTTGACACATGTCATCGGTTCCCATTTGCGCAGATCGATGCTTATGCTGTTGATCACTGGATTGTCTGATCCAGACTCGATTATTTACAGACCTCCGCCGTATAGCTAGTATATTGCTGAGTGCGGCGTGAAACTTAACTCACTCACTCTTTGACGTATCTGTGAGACAAGGGAAATAATTTGTGGTTCACATTTATTATGTCTGTCGCACCGTGAGCACAAAAATAAAGAATATGTATGATCTGCTCTAGTGGGTACTTGTTGTTACCTTGCCTCACAATGGATAAATCAAATACTAGACCGCTGCAATCAGTGTGAATGAGTACTGATGTTAAACTGCGACGTGGTATATAAGTAGGGCTGGCTAAAATGATCGATAACCGGAAATATTGTCATATATATAGAAAAAAGATTATCAATATGAAAATTGTGATTATCGTACATTAACGTTTGTATCAGAAAAAAGAAGATTTTCTCACACAGTATGCAGTTTTAGGTCGGCTTCTAAATTATGGTCATGATATTGTTAATAATTCATGCAAAAACGTCCCCATTCACTAGTGATGTGAAATATATTCATTTCGTTTAGATAGTTTTGGCATTTCTGTCAAATTAATGTAAACTTGCTTTAGATTTTGGAACCCTTTTCCAGGGTCTGTATGACGTCACTGAACTTTGACGTAATGGGAAGGGTCCATTGGTCTGTTTCTTTTGTCTATTAACGATGTCCAAGTTCGTGTTTAGCGCCTCCGAAACGGAATTTCTTGGTGCAAGTACCCGTTTGTGATTTCTTGAAGATTGTTTGCCAGAATGTTCACCACACTCGTTAACGTCATATGACCGTATAGCCATCAGCACTAGAAAGGATGAGGTGAGGATGAGATGACTGACTGACTGACTGAGTTTGGTTTTACGCCGCTTTTAGCAATATTCATCACGGCGGGGACACAGAAATGGGCTTCACACATTTAACATGTGGGGATTCGACCGTTTAGGCGTGACGAGCCAAGCAGGCTACCCCACCGCCCCAATGAGGGTGAGGTGAGATGAGATGAGGTGAGGTGAGGTGAGATTGGGTTTAACGTCGTGCTTGAGATTATTTCGCTCATATGACGACGTGCATGCGTGTGTGTGTGTATGTGCGGCTGCTTGTACTAGCCCAGACTTAAACTGGTTTTATAGAGCTAGCCCACTGAGATACCATGCCGCAGTGAAGCATGAATACCCCACTCAGACACATTATACTGACTCCGAGCCGACCAGTCCTTGCTGTACACATTAATGACCAACAAGTACCATATTTTAACGTCTTTTAGTATGACGCGGCCGGGGATCGAACCCGCGACCTTCTGCTCTCCGGGCGGACGCTCTAACCACTACACCACGGAGGCGGTCCACTACAAAGGGATCCAGTTAGTCATGTTTGCTTCTCTGAATAAACTACAGTTTTTTTATTGCGTTTAGAGTTGCCTTTTAACTATTCCTTGAGGGTTAATATATCCCGATATTAAGTTAGATTGAGAAGTTCCTTTGCTGTGGTTAACAATAGCATACTGACACTATGAAAAATATGGGGTGTTGCGATACCGCTTTCTGTGGGCATAGAAACATAGTTTGAATGTTTCGCCAGGAGGTAATTTGGTATTCTGCTCTTGCAATGTGTGCGTCATTATAACAAGTATAGTTTATATGTACAGTTTAGAAATATTTCCCCAAGGACGTTGCCTTTATACATCAGTGATACATCAGAAAACAATTTCCTTCTATGTGATGCCAGTATTGTAACCAAGCCAGGATACAGATCGCTGCGTAAAGCTTCAGGGGGCAGTGGGGTAGCCTAGTGGTTAAAGCGTTCGCTCGTCACGCCGAAGATCCGGGTTCGAATCCCCACATGGGTACAATGTGTGAAGCCCATTTCTGGTGTCCCCCGCCGTGATATTGCTGGAATATTGCTAAAAGCGGGGTAAAACCAAACTCGTTGATGACTGAACTTGGCTGTTGCTTACGTTGGCCTATTGCGAGCATTAAGTGTATGTGCACCAGTACATATGTCCTCAGATGGTGAGACGGTCGAAATTGCAGCTGGAATGGATACCGAGGTATGTTGTACAAAATCAATACTTACAAGAAGCTTTTACATCATTCCATAAATCAGTTGCAGGCAACAATTCTTTTTCAGTTGTAAGATGTTTGTGTTCTCTGAACACGCCACTGGAATATGGGAGTCCACATTAATTCTCAGTGGTTTCAGAATTGAAAATGATACTGTTTTGTATGTATACTTCATCGTAAATCGTGTTCGGTGCACAAGCGTGGACACAGATAAGGAGTTGAGAGGGGCGGCATCTTGGGTAGGCTTGATATAGATAAAAGGAAATAATTTGTGTTAGTGGTGCTGAATATTTCTTTTTAAGATAGATTAAACTTGTCCTAATGTTTTACATAAAATGTCAAAGCATACAATGGACATTCAGGGTGTTCTTAAAGAAACGGGAAAAATGTTTGGCTCCTCGTTTCAGAGTGTTAATTTTGAAGAGCAATCAACATACGTCTGATTGGTCATAGTATACGCGATCATCTGTAACTCGCCCACGTGCATGCTTGTCGGCTCTGTTCCAGCTATATCGCTGTAGCTAGTAGACTGATCTATGGTCTACTGAGTAGAATGTCTTCCCAGAGGGTGGAAGGTTGGTGGTTCGAACTCCGGCCGTCATATACAGTACTTGATGTTACCCTGCCTGGAGCTCGGTATTAAGGACTGCCTGGTTTGCTGTGTCAGTGTCTGAGTAGGACGTCAATGTTAAACTGCGGCATGGTGTCACATTATGCCAGCACGTTAAGACTTGAATTAGTCCGGAACCTTTCTCACAAAACACACCCACACCAGAGATGCCAACCTCTACGATTTTATCACAGTCGCTACGAATTTTAGCCTCAAACTACGCCAGTACGATTGCACTAGAAATTGTACGAAATTCGAAGAAAATTCATTAAAATTCGGATATATAGACAACAACATTTTCTTTCGGAAGGGAAAGAGAAATCTGGGACTTGCTTCAGTGATTAGTTAGGCCTGGTCGGAAGCAAATCACTGTTTTAGTAACTGTGAGGCACGTGACGTTTACTGCATACCTTTGATTACGATAGCATGTCATAGTTCCATGCGCTTTGCTGCGGAATACAGATATCGTTATGGTGCTTATTATTGTCGATGCTGGGGGTCAGACTGAAGCACTTGAATAAAATCTTATCACCATTAAGCAGTCCCAACAGAACCAGTCGCCATAACGAACAACTTGCCATTCTGTCGGTCATATGAGGTACTAACGGCTGGCTGTAAGCATGATGGAAGTAGATCTGGAAAAGATGACTCATTCAATCAAAAGAACTTAAATTGCATTCACCATAGCCGACCGTCACATCTAAACACAAACTTTGTTGTTATCAGACACTTCTTGAAGTGACTGACTGAGTTTGGTTTTACGCCGCTTTTAGCAATATTCCAGCAACATCACGGCGGGGGACACCAGAAATGGGCTTCACACATTGTGCCCATGTGGGGATTCGAACCCGGGTCTCCAGCGTGACGAGCCAACGCTTTAACCATTAGGCTACCCCACCGCCCAGACACTTCTTGAAACAGTATTTAGTTACATGGAAGCTTGTCAGCTGAAGTTGGATGAAATGATGCAGTTCCCATTTATTTACCTTGGTTGAACCTCGCTGCTCGAGTAATGCTGTCAAGTGAGTCAGGTTTAATGCAGCTTTGAACAGCATTGCAGTCAAATCACGCTTACTGTCGAAAGCAAGCCATACGTTATGCTGGCAAACCTTTAAACATAATTCACAGAATCAGTATTCAAACCTCTGCTTATTGGTTTCAGTCGTGCCCAAGTGAGGCAACCTGTTCGTTTTTAATGCTGTACTCAGCAATTTTCCAGCTATATGGTGGCGGTCGGTAAATAATGGAGTTTCGACCAGACCATCAACAGCACGAGTATCGATAATTGGTATACCATGACATGGGTCAACCAAGTCAGCAAGCCTGACCACCCGATCCCGTTAGTCGCCTCTTTCTACAAGCATGGGTTGCTGAAGACCAATTTTAACCAGGATCTTCAGTGTTCCGACCTATAGATGACCGGCTCACAGAGCCGGTGTTTAACCATGAAAGGCTTCTGGAACACCAAGGGTGAGTGAGTCAGCAATATTCCAGCTATATGGCGGTGGTCTGTAAATAATCGAGTCTGGACCAGACAATCCAGTGATCAACAGCATGAGCATCGATCTTCGCAATTGGGAACCGATGACATGTGTCAACCAAGTCAGAGAGCCTGACCACCTGATCCAGTTAGTCACCTCTTACGACAAGCATGGGTTACTGAAGGTTCATTCTAACCCGGATCTTCATGGGTTGGAACACCAAGTGGATGCAATGTGCACATACATTTACATGACCGTTACATGTCTGGAACAATCTTCCATCCCCATTGACTGACTGACTGACTGAGTTAGGTTTTACACCGCTTTTAGCAATATTCCAGCAACATCACGGCGGGGGACACCAGAAATGGGCTTCACACATTGTACCCATGTGGGGATTCGAACCCGGGTCTTCGGCGTGACGAGCCAACGCTTTAACCACTTGGCTACCCCACCGGCCCCATCCCCATTGAAGGGTAAACAACATACAACAGACACCAGTGTTTCATAATATAACTTTTATTTTGACATAGGAGTAAAATGTATTGTGTTGAGCTGATGACAGCCATGAAGTATATGATACACAGTTACACTTACTGTAGTGTCTGTAGAGCATCTGATTAGTGCCAAGAGTCCACACAGTGTCCTCTACACAACTCATACATGTATAAGCCTACTTGGAAGAATGCAACACATATAATCATAATCAAAAAAAAAATATCATATGATTCTTACAAATCATTATCCCCAAATTCCTAGCATATTAAGGCCAAAATTGACATTATTTTCATTCTCACAAAACAGAACTAGGCATATTTGTTTCAGATATTTTCAAGAAGCCCCAAGTTGATTTGTCATTGAATTATTGTTTTAGCACATTTCCATACAAAACATTCTTTAAAAAGAGTAAGTTTTCTTACTATGATTTGTTTCATTATGTGGGACATTGAATGTTTTTACACAAAAGCTATATAAGAGTCCGATGCTTATTGAAATACTGATTACACTATGTCAAACCAAAAGGTGGGGACACAGCTCAGAGTATTCTCTATCATTTGCATCCATTAACAGATGCTCTTTCAGCATGTGGTGTCCTAAATAATAGCTGAATACTACACAAAATGCTTTTGAGTATATTTAACAAAGCCTGGACGAACATAGATCATGCTAGTCACATTAGCAAGATCCATAGTATCACTTGTTACATACTATGTAAGCAAACTCATAGGGCAAATTACAAGGCTCTAGAGATCCCACTCCTAATGTTTGGCACTAACCACATGAAATACAGATATTATGAAGTAAGGTCTGGTTCAGATGAATACTAGTGCAGAGGAAACACTTCTATAGAGTAGATTGACAGGTTAGGATTCCACTCACCATGACAACAGTCAGGGTAAGGTTCCACTCTTCCTGACAACAGCCAGGTTAAGATTCCATCTCACCATGACAACAGCCAGGTTAAGATTCCATCTCACCATGACAACAGCCAGGTTAAGATTCCATCTCACCATGACAACAGCCAGGTTAAGATTCAATCTCACCATGACAATAGCCAGGTTAAGATTCCATCTCTCCATGACTACAGCCAGGCTATGATTCCATGTCACCATGACAACAGCCAGGTTAAGATTCCATCTCACCATGACAATAGCCAGGTTAAGATTCCATCTCACCATGACAATAGCCAGGTTAAGATTCCATCTCTCCATGACAACAGCCAGGTTAAGATTCCATCTCACCATGACTACAGCCAGGCTATGATTCCACCTCACCATGACAATCACCAGGCTAGGGTTCCATCTCACCATGACTACAGCCAGGCTAGGGTTCCACCTCACCATGACAATCACCAGGCTAGGGTTCCATCTCACCATGACTACAGCCAGGCTAGGGTTCCACCTCACCATGACAACCACCAGGCTAGGGTTCCACCTCACCATGACAATCACCAGGTTAGGATTCTACCTCACCATGACAATCATCAGGCTAGGGTTCCACCTCACCATGACAATCACCAGGTTAGGATTCTACCTCACCATGACAATCATCAGGCTAGGGTTCCACCTCACAATGACAATCATCAGGTTAAGATTCCATTTCACAATGACAATAGCCATGTTAGGATTCTAATTCACTATGAAAAAAAAGACTAGGCAAGGTTTCCAACTTGCCATGACAAGATGAAGTGTATAGCATGTGAAACATGGGCTGTAGCGTTTCCCACTTTTTAACAAATTGCTCATCAAAAACAACTAAATGCTATTTTGCCTTCAGTGAAATCCAAAAACATGCTCGACCTAAATAGCCTTATCTAATGTGAGTGTGACACGCCTAAAATATTTGATTTCTCATTTTCTACCTGTCATTATGACACTTGTCTGTTTATTCATATTTGACAAAGGGCTCATTTCTGTGTACAACAGTGAGAAATTTGACAATAAAATATTAAACACAAATTCAAAACAACCAATATGGTTTGCAATATTTTGTCTTGTTTGATTGGTACACAATATGGCCCCAAATATTTGAAGGCAATCACATTTGCACACATTGAGGCAAACAGTTACAGACAGAAACCACAAAGAAGTGACAGATCATTGTGTTTGTTAATGAAATGAAAGCTATATATGACATTAATGATAGAACAACAATGGCATGTGTATTTTGGTTCTAACTCCTGAACACATATGGAATATTTCAACCCAGGAATATAAAATTAGTTTCAAAGGCAAAAGAAAAACAAAATGCATGTTTGTAAGTATTACACATAATCCAGAGTATTCTAATCAGAACTGCTGGTAAAACAAAAGGAAATGACATTCACTCAAAGTATTGAAACATCAGAAATGCAGAGCTTTAAGCACTCAGTGAATGGTCAGTAACAAGTGTTAGCATCGTTAGCTTGACTGCGTTTATCTGGGGACGTCCTGAAACAAACCCTGACAACAACTGAAAATACTACAATCTACAACAAAATAAATAATCTATAAAATAAATACATTCTTATGCTTTGCTGCTGCTAGGGGTGGCCATGTTGGATAATGCTGCCAAGCTGGATTATCTCCCCTTGGGAGCTCAAAATTGGAGGTTTACAGATTTGTCATGATTATCCTTTTTCTGCAATGTGCCATGCTCACAGTTTGTGTAGGAACAACATGTGAAAAATTCAAAGGTAAATGTAGAACAAGATATTACTTTAAATATTAGATGAGAGATCAGATGAAAAATGCATGTCAGTTTCTTGGCTATGAATAAAAATGCCTCACATGTCTTGCTTTATGGGATCCCCTCTACATGCCTTTGGATTCAACCTTAACAGGAAAGAAGGTCATAGGTAGTGCTGAGGAAACCCAGATCTTTATTACATGAATTAGTGTACTCAAGTCCGTACATACAGAATTCACAGCATCTTTGTGGGGACATTTTAACCAAAAGTGTTGCGGATAAGAACACACAAATGGCATTCGAGCATAATTTTAAACTTCAACATTTGGCATTATTTTATAAGATGGTATGTATATGTAAATGTCTGCATTTACTCAAGGTTACTGTGCTCTGCTTAAGCTGAAACATAATACTGCTTAATTTAAGTATGAGGAAAATATATATTAATATGATACCTAGACACTGAATGACCAAAGCCATTAACATAGTTATTATCAGAGTATGTACATTTTTCCAAGATATCACAGCTCCACTTAACGTTCTAGTATTGCAGAAGACAAAGCAATTGGATCAGGAAGTATGCATGTCTAAACACTGGGGTCATGTTCACAGCAACAAGTGATCATCAGTAGCAGTGGCCTGAGTAACAAGACTGCCCACACAGACAGTACTTGGAGCGTCGCCTACGTGTGTTCACTTCCAGCCATGGATGACATCAGGGTATTATGACAGTATTACTGTAGACAAAGCAGCTGGTCTCATACAAGGAACAAAAGATGAACTTTCTTTCATAGGACAGAGTATTCTGTCATCCTTCAAGAAACTGTCATTAATTCATTAATCTCAACTACCATTAGCAATGTAAATAGCGAAGTCTGAAACGTCTTTTCGTCTGAAAATTGCTTTTCATTTTTTGAACAAAGAACTATACTGAGTACTACAAATCCAACTTCAAATCATTTGTAAATTGGTCAGGTTGACGATGATTTAAGACCTCATGAAACTTTTCCAAAAGTCAAAGGATGGCTTTATGAAAATCGAAAAATGTCATCCAAGGACTAAAGAAAAGTCTATTTACATGAATTTCATTTCAACCTTTTAGAATTCAGACTGCCAAAGTAAATGGCAATGATCAAAACAAGCATTTAAGAAATCAGTATATCTTTTGTCTTGGCCGGAACATACCATTAACAGTACCGAAATCATCCAAATTCACATTGAAAGAAATGAACATCTCATTGAACCTTCCTTGTATCAGACAACTGTGTTCATGACAAATGCTAGTGGTGCTATCACTTTTAACATCAGCACAATACTAACACAACCATACATGAGTGTACAGTCAAAGGCATAGCTCTCGGCATTGTCTAAAATGTTTTTCATCACACGGCTCAGTTTGTTTTTCATCCATTCTTACAGTTTTCAGTGAATTAATGACATTATATTTACTACATTTGACCAAACCAATGAGGTTCCTTATTTTTCATCCAATAAAGCCTACTAAGACTGGCAGTGTTAACTGCATGAGAATCTCCATCACTGCAGGAATATCACTGCAGCCAACTGTATGGTACTTGTACAAGGTCACTTATCATCGTCCTCCAGCAGATGTCATAGAGAACATGTAGGCACACAGAAGTGTCAGATTAGTTCTACACCACAATTCTTTGGCAAGCAGCAGAACGAAGGCTTGGCACCAGTGCACAATCAACTCTATGTTATACACCTCCAACCCTGCAACAAGAGAGCCCTGGGCTTCATGAGGTCAAACTTCAATCCTGCCAAGGACGTACACAGCAACAATACAGCCTTTGCATGGTAATATTTGGCACCTGTACGCGATTACCTGTTTGACATCCATCACTTCCTTGGCACCTTCTTCAAGACTGATAACAATGGCAGCCCCATATAACAATATTATTGGCAACAATGGGAATCCTATCTTTGCATTTTGCAGATAAAACCCATGACATCTTTCAAGAAATCTGACCATGAGAGCCTTCTCCAAGAGTATTGACTTGGCACATATCAGTCCTTATCTGCTATGATGACCTGGTCCCTGGTCATCAACTCAAATCATTTTGGCACTAACTGTCCAGCATCATCCAAAGTATGTAACTATTCATTAAAGGTGTAATTGGGTTCTTCATCTGAAGATCTGAAAGAATCGCCACTTTCCTGCACATCAGATTCCATGCCAGTGTTCTGACCCGGCCCACAAAGTGACATAACAAATTACAACACATACCTGCTGTACAGCACACAACACCAGCTAGTGTTGATGAATACATTCTTGCTGGGTAAAATCCCTAATGTGCCACTATATTCAACACAGAGTATTGTTTGTTCTAACTTCAGTCCACAGCAATACATTAGTGAAGCATACATCTCTATAGAGAGGGTGTGGGTAGCAGCCTATTGCAGAACTCTGTAAGGTGGTCAATGTGTGGAAAGATTTGAAACAAGAATATGCAGTCCTCATATAGTCATCGAAACCCTGGACTGGGTTCCTCATACCCAAACCACAGAGTCAGAAGAATCACACTGATCAAGTTCTACACCAGGAAAACATCACAGTCTCTCTGCATCATGCATCTACCTCAATGGCAACCTACAACTCATCTGTAGCAGTCGACACTGTCATTTTGTCATTATTCATCACCGAGGTATTTTCTTCCATCAGATATTGTAAAAACAATATACAGATCAGTAAACAGGATCGATGTTTCCTTTTATCAAATCCTTATCGGAAGTTGGAACAAATGAAGCATGCCTATGGCTTTCAACAAAGAACTAACATTTCTACCCCAAATAAGCAAATAACACCTCATTAATTCGTCATTAGCATTCATGTATTTATATACCATTGATATAAAACAATAACAAAGCACAAACCCTGCTGAAAATGAAATTATCACCCAAAATGACATTATGAACACTGATCCATTCAAACTACAGAAAGCTGAAACTAAGAGGCACGAGATCCTTCTTCAGCTGCATGAGGACCAACTCCACATCCAAGCATTCAGATCCTTATCCAGGATCTTCTCTCTCTCTAGAGTCACACTGTTGATACACTCCTCCCTAGCACAGTATCACATCCTTGATCCTTCCACACTATATCCTGAGTCCCCGATGCAAATGCACGACCATTACACATCCTGTTGATATGAAAGACAAAGGTTAGGAATCCACTATGTTTGCAGCAGCTGTTTCTCTGGCTGTTGGGGACTAGTGTCTTCCGGTGTGTCTGCACTATCTTCATTAGCTGCATTATCCTGTATACTCTGGTTATAGTCTTCTAGACATTTGAGGAGGGCCTCCACCAGGTCCTGGAGGACCTCCGTGTCCTTCTCCTCTAGTAAGTTAAACTCCATATTGAACACCATGAAGTGAGTGAACAGACTGTTTAAGTGGCCATGCAGGCCAAGTGTCAGAAGTTCCCTATAATGTGCATGGTATATGTGTGCTAATACTTGGAGGAGATAACGGTGCACCTTCTTCACAACTGTTTCAAATGAGTTTGGGAAGACATGACCTGAAAGACACAAACAGTTACAGAATCACTTTATATAAGGGGAAATACACAAGAATAAGAGTTGTTAAGTTGCAGATGCACTGCAAAACACTATTCCTTCACTTATTATGCACACTGAAACACTAACTGTAACACTCTCATTATTTTTTTTTTACCTCAATCCAACAAAATCAGTGAGTGTGTGAGTTTAGTTTTACGCCGCTTTTAGCAATATTCCAGTAATATCGCGGCGGGGGACACCAGAAATGGGCTTCACACATTGTGCCCACGTGGGGAATCGAAACCCGGCATGACAAACAAATGCCTTAACCACTAGGCTACCCCATTGCCCCTCCTACAAAACCAACATACTTCTTTGAGTCACTGTTGGTTTATGTTGCCGTCAGCAATATTCCAGCTACATCATGTTGCCCTGTAAATAATAATATCTTGGCTACTCCAACCAGTGGTTGATAGCAAGAGCAATGACCCACTTTGTTTGGGCACACTCAGATAGAATGACCCCACTACCAGACTGTTCTTATTCATGTGCAAACAGTTACCAGATATATCTACTAAAGGTGATTGTCCACAAAGAAATATAACAAGTGCTAAATTTCAAATTCATGTTAAACTTTCCCATGAAGTGTACTCACCAAACTTTGTTGGGAAGACAGACTCGTCTGTGATGGACGTCTGTATATATGTCATGACATAGTCAATATACTGAGGAGCTGAATATTTGTATTTCTTCCCCTTGTCATCATACCAATAATATTGCCTGAAAATAGATGGTGAAAAAACTACAATAAATATTTGCATATGTCCTTAAGAATATTACAATAGAAATGAGCCAACACTGCAGTTTACATAAAAGCAATGTCTAAATGACTTGTGTTGTCCAAAGTTCAGATATTGTACCCACATTTTACCTAATGCTGCATCAATGGAGTAACATCCACACATTATACTTTCTTTCCTGACCTTACTGTACTGTAAACATTACAAATAAGAGAGCTAGTTTGGTTTTTTGCCGCTTTTAGCAATATTCCAGCAATATCACGGCAAGGGGCACCAGAAATGGGCTTCACACATTGTACCCATGTGAGGAATCAAACCAGGGTCTTCGGCGTGACGAGCCAACACCTTAACCACTAGGTTACCTTATCGCCCCAGTTTAGATAAAGACATTGTCTAAATGACTTGTGTTGTCCAAAGTTCAGATACTGTATTCATATTTTATCTAATGCTGCATCAATAGCGTAGCATCCTCACATTATAGTTTCTTTCCTGACCTAACTGTAATGTAAACATTACAAATATGCCTTTCCATTTTGTATGTAGAATGTGCAAGACCTTACTATATAAGCAACCTTACCTCAAACCACACTTTCAAAAAATAAATCAAGCATGCACCATCAAATTGCAGATGATATCATACAGCCCTGCAGGCAGTGGTGTATGTAAACAAAGTTATCCTGCACAATTATGGTCAAAAGCTAATTGTAAACTTACACACTGCCCGGGGCTGCCATCGAGGAGCATGCCTGTCCCTCAGAGGTACAGTACTCAGAGATCACCCCGTACATTAAGTTCACATGGTTGAAGAACGCTATCGCTGAAAGGCAAAGGAACATATGTTAGATTCTAACAATCAAGTAAGCAAAACAAAAGACTGACTGACTGAGTTTGGTTTTACGACGCTTTTAGCAATATTCCAGCAACACCAAGGCGGGGGACACCAGAAATGGGCTTCACACATTGTACCCATGTGGGGATTCGAACCCGGGTCTTCGGTGTGACGAGCCAACGCTTTAACCACAAAACAAAAGAAAATAGCTCACAGATAGCTTTATTTATCAGACATGAATAGGAAGATGTCGTGTCATGTAGAAAATAATTGGGATCCAGTCAGTAATCTAAGTGACTCAGGGTTAATGTGCCATTTCAAATTTGACATACTGGTATCAAATAGTCGGGAATGATGCCAGTCTGAAGTGTATTAAGTTAAATTACTGCGTGTCTTAGTCATTAATTACAAAGTTATACAAAGATCATCATGCAAAATTAATTTTGGACATTTTCAAATTTTTAGTTATTATCTCAATTTTGACATCAAAACTACTGATCTGATTCATTGTGACTACAACATCTCGACTAAGTGAGTGCATGAGTTTGATTTTATTCCGTCTTAGCTATATTCCAGCAATATCGCGGCGGCAGACACCAGAAATGAACTTCACACATTGTACCCATGTGGGGAATCGAACCCGATTATTTGGCATGACGAACATACGCTTTAACCACTAGGCATTAATATACACATGAAAGTACAAGTGTTCCTTTATTCTTCTCCAGGTTTCTTCACAAGGTATGTATTGCACTGTGAGTGAAATTCTGGAAATAAATAAAGGAACACTTGTACTTTCATGTGTTCCCTTATTCGTTTCCATGAGTGTACATTGTGTTTGATGATTGTTGTGACACACACAGAGCAATATTCCAGCTATATGACGGCAAACCGTAAATAATCAAATCTGGACCACACAATCCCTATTTTCTTTACAAGCTGCCAACCAACATGAACAGCAGTAACTTCAACCACTGATTTGAAAAACTGACTGTGGAAATTCAATTCTCATGTTGCATAAAGCAGGGCTTAAACTCCGCATACTCCATTAAAGTCTATTCAGGTCCATGCTTGCTTTGTATTAGGTATCTGTCACGTACAGTATCAGTTCCAGGAATCACCCAATCCATATTTAAGCCTTTCTACTTAGTCAATTCTTTTGATAAAGACCTGAGACTAATTGGCCACGATTTTGTTGCTATGGTGAAGTACTATATTATTTTAAGTACCTTATTATCTCAGTTAATGGTCTCTCATCAATCTGTACAGCTCTACTACTTGCCTGAAGACAGATTCTATCACAGCAAGTAGGCAGTGTTAACCGTAGTTCAGGAGCCAGATCTTATTATGTACACGTCTTGTTTTTCATGCTTTGACTTTTTTAATTTTCTTGTTTTTCTCCATAAAGATAAATCTGCAAGAATTTCTTCATTTATTTAACAGACATTTTTTTGTATTTCAAATAGTGTTGATACCACAATGTCTTCATTATAACAAGTATATGGTCTCTACCTGCAGATAAGGAAACCTTCAAAGTTTGGTATATTTAAAAAAGGTCCTGCATGAAACAAGAAGAATTGTCATGCTTAAAATCAAGTTGAACAAGGGTCTTTAAAGGTTGCTGCCGAAGTACTGGAATCTAAGGACCCTCTAACAAATTTGTTTAACATCAGGATAATGTCTGTTAGTTGTTTAACGCTGTACAGCAATATTCCAGCCATATGATGTCATCTGCAAATAAACAATCCGACGAGCCTGTGATTGACATCTTGAGCTTTGATCTACAAGTGAGTGAACACTGCCATCTGATCCCATTAGTTCACTCTTATGACAACCATGGGTTGCTGAAGGCCAATTGTAAGTTATTATAAGGCCAGACCAATTTTATTTCTTGTTTTACTGATTTTTGTCCTCAGAAAACCTAAAGGCAGGAGGGAAAAAAAATAAAAATAACAATCACCAGTCAAAGTAATATTCCTTTTAAATACTAAAAGTATTTTACTTTTGGCAATTTATGAAGTGTATATGGGCCAAAAACAATCTAAAAACATTTTCTTGCACATTTACATCTCTGGCCAATATAAATATTAAAATTTTATTTTTTGAGCTGGTCTGGCCTAACCGTTGTCTTTCAAGCACAGCTGTGAGCATTTAAGTTATATCACCTTTACACAAGCAAGAAAAATATTGACCATAACAACAGAGAAAAGATGGAGATCCACTCCCCCCTACTCTTAAACCTAGCTTCTACTTCCGTATGTTGAATGACATCATCTAATCTTGGCTATTAAATGCTATCAGCAACTTGATAGTTGTCAATAAACTGAGACAGGCTGTGTGTCAAGTTGACATTATTATCACCAACATCAAAAGATAACATGAATAAAATAAAAACAACCTATTGAGACATGAAGTTATTCATAGAACGATGGTGTAGCTGACTCAATTCAGGGTGACTAACTGTCGTCATGCTTCATGAACACAGCATATCCAACAAAACATAGCTGGTTTAACTTCTCAAGTCACCAAGTTCATCTGCTTTCAAGATTAGTCACTGTAGCATATACTTAAATTGTTATAGGTCATACAAAATGAAACATCAAACACCAAATCACTCATACTGGTGAGTGAGTGAGGCCACTTTTTGGCAACATGTCAGCTTTTCATCAGGTATATCTGTAGGAGGCTTACTGAAATGAGCTACACATACTGTACCTATGTTGATATTTAAATTCCACATAAACCCATAATTTATAATGTGATTAGAATACCTGAGGCACCATAGAACAACCACGACAGATTCATTTAATAAATAGCCCAAAATATAAATAAATACAAACAAAAGAGTTCATGCAAGACTTGTATGCTGAGATAAGTATTCTTGGTAGAAGGTGAGCTTCCCTCCCTGCCCTCTTCAACAATCCATCAACAAATTGGCTTCCATGTGTTGGTGAGATCAAATAACCACCAGGATGAGTCCAACAGAAGACAAACTGGGTGATATATTCATTGAGTGGCTAACCTGAGCTCTCATCCATTCAGCCTGGACCCTTCAGTGAATTGTTGGGTTGGAGGTGTGAGTCTTTGTATTATGCATTAAACTCCCTGCTGAGCACTGTCTAGCTCCAATCGAGATGCTCAAGCAAATCAATAATTGATGGCTTCTAACATCCAACGATCTGGAGACTCATAGGTGTACAAACCATTCACATCTTGCTGGTTAGTGTACCCACATGCTGAGGTCAAGTAATGTCAAGTCCTTGTCCAATCATTTATGAGACAAAAGATGCAGTCTTAGAAATTTGATTTTCTTTCAGCACAAATGTATAACTTATTACACTGAACACTTGAGTTTGTAGTTAGTCCTGCTTGAACAAGAAAAAATGTTCATGAGATTGTAAACATTTTCAGTTCCAATTTGAAACAAAAATGAAGCATTGAGAACTGGTAGAGACTTACACCCCTCAAATGCTGCTAGGTGAATGGACTACCGTCATTTGATTTTTTACTTGTCCTCAGCACAGTTTAGTAGTCCCAGGCAAGTGGACGAGGGCTGGCATGAATCTCAAACGCTGGAAGATGACTATTATAAATTCAGAGAATATGACTGCAAGTATATAAGGAATATCCTGCATCTGGTCAATCAGCATGTATTGCTGCCTAAGAGTATACTCTGTGCAGTTTTCCATACAACAGAACTGAGCAAACATGAAATTTTTCTGTAAAATTCAAATAAAAAGCATCTCGATATAGTTACGATATACAAAACATTTATCCATATCCTTTTCAGAGGATACTGCCAGTTCATTTCACTTTACTTGATAGAGAAAATACACCAATAAACTGTGGTGTGAGCTTAGCGATATTCAGTGTGGCATACAGCTCTCTACTCCAGCATATCAACATGACATCCTGTTAATTCACCAACCAATTTCTACTTGAGGAAAGTCATGGCTCAAGAAACGACAAGTTTTCAACACCAATTCATTTCATCCATACCATATGAAAAGACGTCCGTCTCAGCTAATAATAACTTGTATAGTAACTAAGAAACTTCATATGAAAACCTACAAAGCATAAAGAGTCTCCTAATCTGGGAGAATAAAGCCGGTTTCTAGACCAGCAGTAATTGCCGGGCTGAGCCGCCCAGTGCTCCGTGCCCCAACTGCCCCAAACCTCCATCGATCAGTATTTTTGATGGCTCCCTGTCGTACCAATATGAATCTAAGTTGTCTGTCATTTCTTTCTAAGAAAGAATTAATCAAGGAGAGAAACTGTGTGGTCAATAACTGCCAAAATGTCAGTATGGATGCTGAAAATGCAATGAAGGAAGTGAACGTGAAACTGCTGAGCCTGCAGTATCTGGCATGTCATTTTTGCCTGGCTGACGGGCGTGGTATTTCATCCAGTGAAAGGAAAAGTGTAAAAAAAACAGTGAAGGGGTCCTTGTCATTGCCCTATTGATAAAAGTTAAAGATGTAAGGGGTCCCTACATTCAAATAGTATTGCATCCAACCTCAAGGACACATGGAACAACCTTCAGTTTGGACAAAGGTAAACTTAAATGAAACTAGGTGCAATTTGTTTCACAAATTTGGAGAATTGTGGCCTAAGATTGACAAAAAAATGTCATGATTCAAAAATTGTTTTCATTTTCTTACAACATGGACAAAGATTTGAAGTAAAAAAGCATAATTGCATATTTTGTCATTCAGTGAAATCTGTACATGTGGCTGATGTGGTGAACGTTGGTGACCTGCATCACCTTCCTCCAACATCAGCTGATGCTGTAATACTGGTCAATGTGGTGTTAAACCCAACTTACTCATTCACTCTGGCTGATGTTTGAAAGATGGGTACCTATTTCAACATCATATCGCTGTATACATTATTTTTTAGTCCAAGTGAGCAAAAACAGTACTGTTATCACAAAAACAATCAAGACTCCTTTACTGTCAAATGTCCACACATGTTTAAGTAATAATGTGTATCACAAAACCAAACAAATACATCCTGCAAGAGGCTCTTGGTAAGTTAGTCAAATTGCACTAGAGTCCAGAATAATCAAATCACACCTATTACAGCTCCAATACCATGAGATTTTATGCATATATACCATCCAAAAAATGTAGGGGATATTGGATTTACAAGATTGATAAAATACAAATGATGAAGCCAAGGAGGAAACAGATGATGAAAAGAAATTAAGGAAAATATGACAATTTATTTCATTCCTTTGGAAATGTTTCATCTGTATGGATATGTTTTACTTTTCTCATATGCATTAGTGGCATGCTCGCAAAATGGAATAGCCCTTACTATTTTTGATGGTATAATTAAGTCACTAATAACCATAACTGTCAGTCAACAAATTCATTTTTTCCTCACTTTGAATATTTCCAGACACTTAACAGCAATCATGACAAGAGCAACTGCACAGTAGAGGCCTCAGCCCCTTCCTGGCCATTGTGAGCAGCCAGTGCAAGGTGTTGCCACACGCCACCACAGCAATCACAACCTACATGGAGTGACAGATGGCTGTATTATCGTCAGCATTGATTTTATCCATGGCAGGATAACAGTAAGGTTTCGCAACAGACCCATTTAATGTACATTGAGTGGTAGATATATACATGTATCTCATTTCTGTTTGGGATTTCTACTTTCTTTCTCAACACAGATTTCTTCTCACATTTATTGACTTAATTATTCGAAACATATGCTAAGAGAAAATGTCTTCATACCTTTTAAAATATATGACAAAATTATATCAAACCAAAATGTCACTTTTTCTTTCCGTATTTTTCTGAAAACAATGATAAATTGTCCTACATGCACAAACAACTCAATCATTCTACCAGTGGAAAATTTATCAAATAAAAATGTTTATTGATCGCCATATATCAAACTGTCAACGACATCATACTGACATATTTTTCCTCATGAGGGCTTAATGACAGGTTATAAAGACACACCCACATTTTAATCCAATGATAATCCCAGTTGTCATTCTTTTTTGCGTCAGTGTTATCAGTTATTTCCTTATGTAAACATCTGTCTATTTACAAAGGTTTGCTGCTCTCTTAAGGATGCAGTTAAGACAGCAAAAACAAAATGAAAGGTGTGGAGCAAGTGAATCATCATGACTTAACATTCTTCAAGGGACTTTTCTCTTGTTCTTGATCTACTGCTGCATACATTTACGCATAGTTTTTAATAGGGACTCTCCAGCCCACAACACAAACCTAAGTTGTAAGTTAGTTAGTTTTTTATCTGTATTTCAGCATGTCAACTAACTAAGAATTTTTAATTCAAACAAAATAGGCAGACTTTGGACGTGCTAAAATCTCAGGTAAATTACTTGCAGTGCCTTTTACCACTTCACTACAGTTACCCTCCATCCTTAACTGCCGATATTACACAGCAAGCTGTAGTGAAGTCCATCAGTGGACCCTCACACCAGTAACACTTAACTGCATATAACGTGATCATCTGTAATTCATTTCTGCAACTATGTAAGATTTGCATCCATTTTCTCAAACTTGTATGAAGTGAGTGAGTGAGTGTTTTATGTTGCTTTTATCAATATTCCAGCAATATCAAGACAAATTGGCTTCATACGGTTTAAACATAATTATTCATGAAATTATGAATGGATTGGCCAACAAGCTCCGAAGAGCTTATTTGAAGGCTGCTCCCAAAAGGCTTCATATATTATACTAATGTGGGAAATCGAATCTGGAGTCTTCGGTGTAACGAGCAAAAGCTTTAACCACTAGGCTACCCCACCGCCCCTGTATGAGGTGTGTGATTAGCCTACACACATATCTCCAGGCTAAACTTTGGGTTTCCGTTTCTTGTCCCAGTCATCGATACTTCAGCCACATCATGGTGGTGTGAAATCATCAACTAAAGGTCTGACAAACCAGAGGCTGATAGTATGAGCAACACCTGTAGCTGTTGGAGTATAATGATATGCTATCAACAAAGTAAGTGAGTGAGTTTTGGTTTTACACCGCATTTAGCAATATTCCAGCAATATTACAGTGGGGGACACCAGAAATGGGCTTCACACATTGTACCCATGTGGAGAATTGAACCCAGGTCTTAGGCAAGCGAATGCTTTAACCACTTAGCTACCCCACCGCCCCCCTCTATCAACCAAGTCACCGAGTCTGACCATCCAAACCACTTCAGCCTCCTCTTACAACATGCTGTGGAACAATGCTAAAGTGGATCTCCACTGTCAGTGCTAGGAATACAGTAGTCAACAGTTCACCTGATTCCTAGTCATAATCACACTCTGATCACTGGTATTCTTCTCATCAATTGCTACATTCACAAGAAAAGGTTAATACTTACTGTGAGTAGCCAACCACTCGTTATAGTCTAGGTGTGGAGGTAGTGAGACTAGCTTGAAGAAATCTGCTTCTGTGACACGTTCCTTGATGAACGTTTCCCCCAGGTACTGACGCTGTTCCTCGCTGGCAGGGGGGGTAGGGGAGTCCTTATCTTTCCGTCTCCCCTTCCTGAAACAAACAAAACATTAAATTACTTTCAAAGATTTGATGAACAGGATTTATATATATTTCAAATGAATTTGTGTTCGAGGTCAGGCTGAGGTTCTGGGTCCTGATCCAAAAGAGTTTGTAGCGCTACGACACATCGTAAGCCTATGATAAACTATGGAGCTACGACAAGTCGTAATGTAAAGAACGCTTTGTCGATCGGGACCCTGTTCCATTGAGTTGTAGGATCTGGTTTAATACCACTTTGAATAGTATTTCAGTTTAATCATTTCAAGTCATCTGGCTGAGGTAAGAAACATCTAAGTGATGCAGGTTTTAGATGCTCACCACTTTTGGCAAATTGATGAGAATAGCTATGGTGTAGACAAACCTGGAAACTTAACTGGGGCCTATGCCTTAACTGGCACATGGAAGTGACCCAACTCTGCATAGTGACTTGCAGCAACCTAGACAACCTGGCCAAAGTAGGCCTTAGTTAATGTATACCTCCCATTGACCCACTTACAACATTCACTATATGTTATGTATATACATATGGTTACATCGAAGATTGATTTCTCCACTAACTTGGGGGAACCAACTGCAAACCTTATGCAGATGAATTGCACGAGGATCATGCATCAATTTGCTGAAAAGCATGTGCAAATATTGTGCATGTGAACAGCTGCGTAAAGTTTTGTTGAGAATTCGCCAGTTTTCACTGAGTTTTTATCATTTATTGAACTCATAACAATAATCTTTTCAACGCTACGAAATTGTATTACAATACATCAGTTCATGTGTAAACAGTACCTTTTAACAGTATCTAATATTTTGCAAATTTTTGTTTAGAACAGTTGCTTGAAGAAAGTGGCTATATTTACACTAGTGAGTGTAAACTTTTGATGGGAAGTATACATGTCACAAAGTCTGGACCAGACAGTCCCGTGTTTGAAATCATGGGCATCAATCTAGGCAATTGGGCTGACTGACTGACTGAGTTTGGTTTTACACCGCTTTTAGCAATATTCCAGCAACATCACGGCAGGGTGACACCAGAAATGGGCTTCACACATTGTACCCATGTGGGGATTCGAACCCAGGTCTTCGGCGTGACAAGCCAACGCTTTAACCACTAGGCTACCCCACCGCCCCCCTAGGCAACTGGGATACAATGACATGTATCCAACAAATCAGCAAGTCTGAGCATCCAATTCTGTTGGTTACTTTTTAAAACAAGTTTAATCATCTCTTCTGATAAGCATGGACTACTGAAGACCAATTGTAACGGCATCTTCATGGGTCAATAAAGATTGCAGAATGTAAAAGAACAGAGGACTGCAAAAGGCAGGCACTTGCCACTTATTCGTATTCTTGAAGAATGTACCTGAACCTTTTGGTACTCTCCAACACCAAAACAAAAACTGAATGTTCCAAGGTTTGAATAAAGTTTAAAACTTGGACAACCTTACCTCATTGTCTGCCAGAGGTATCTCTTAGCTGCTTCCTTCATTGCAAACAGCTACCATTACAAAAAAAGATCCCTTGTATGTTGACAACTGAGCCTTCCTACCACCAGGTGATATGTTGGGGTAATGATAGTGTCACACACAGCAGGATCTGGTCTTGCAAGGTATAACATCGAGAGTCGAAATACCGTATTTCACTCAAAAAAGCCATTCCAAAGCAAAAAAATTAAAATCTGTATTACAGATTAAATAATACTAAATACATGAAAAGAGAAAGTACAGATGCATGGAAAGCAAAAACTTTGTATTTTGTGACCTGCCATTTAGATAGACATAATACATCAGATAGGAATGTTTACTGAATCATTTAAGATACTTGAATACATTTCCATTCTCTGAAAACTTCATGAACCCTGTTAAGGTGAATCCTGCTTGACTGAGCACTGCTTTGTTTGGAGAGACATTACTACAGGTGACCACTATAGGAAGAGCAATCAGGACTACATTCCAAACAAGTCCCAAGGTGTTCTGGAACAGGTTCGACTGTATGTCAACAAAAACATCCAGGTAAATGTCCTATTGAGCTACATATATGGCAGCTAGAGGATCCAGGCTAATTACAGGTCGTTCAGGTCTAGTAACTGGTTTGAAAGATGCACCAACTTCAATAACATCCCCAGATGATGAGCTTTTGTGGTGGAATGCCAGTAACAAGGATGCTGGAATAGCTATATGAAGTTATGTGTCTTAGGGAGTCCTGCATAGCAGGCAAACACTAATACAGAAAACACAGATGTATTTTGAACAAACAAGTGTTCACACAGTTGCAACAAAGAATAGTCTGGAGGCAAGTACATGCTGAGTAACAGTCAATAATAGGTTTTTAAATATGGCTGCCAAGTCAGCCATCATGGAAATGTGATTTGAACATCTTAAACAAATTCGGGGCAGAATACTGATAGGAACAAGAATGTGAAGTTAACTGTTTGATCAAGAATGAAACGTAAAACTTTATGGATGACAACTTCTTGTTTAGTGATGTTTCGATGTAGATTCTGACATCGTTATCAAGCTAAAAGTAAGACTGTGAAGTGTCAGAATCATAGGTATAATGGAGACTGAGCAGATGTTTACATCAGATGCTGAGAGAACATGATATAGGCTTAATCAACTCAGTCAGGTGATTTAATAGAAGTCAGGTCCCATTATTTCTTCACATATTTCTGATACTAATACATGTACCGGTATATACAAATTTGATTGACATCATTAATTATTTTTGGCACCAGTTTTAGGGGAGATATTGTTTGAAGAGAAAACACTTCCTGCTAAGGAATTCATGTCAGAACTATGTATGCTGTGACCAAAGTACACAACTACTCCTCCATGAGTCAGTTTTCCTGACTTTCATATCACATCACTATTAATATGTACAAAACATATTCTGTAATTATATGAATAGTGTCAGTATGAAGTGCCCCGCATCCTGAGACAAAACAATGGTTTGCTGATGGCATTGTGATGTCAAGTGAAAAGGAAAAAAGTAGTAGACATAGGGGTTTCACAATATCCAAATACATTATTTTATTTTTCAAAACCGAAAAAACAGGAAAATGACAGTCTACATATTACTATGATTTAAAATATTAAACATGTATCTACTCAAAATGGCAACAGTTAATGATCTTATTTCACGAACAATTCACAGATTCATGCAATGTATGGCAAAGATCTGCATCTCAGTTCAAACTGGCTCTCTCTTGGAGTGAAAATATACAAAACAGACTTATACTAAAAATTAAACATACCTCAAATTGTGCCAAACACTTTTGTTAGTTTGTTGTTTATACCACACTCAGCAATGCTCCAACTATAAGACAGCAATAATAAGAAACTGAGTCTGGACCAGACAATCCTGTGATTGACATCATGAGCATCAATCTAGACAATTGGGTTACGATGACGTCTATCAGCCAAGTCGGTGAGTCCGACCAACCAATTCTATTCGACGCCTCTTACAACAAGCCTGGGTTGCTGAAGATCTATTCCAACCTAGGCCTTTAAACTTTCAAGTTTACTAGCATCAAAATATAGTTTGACGTTTTTTTCTATAGATATCAGTCTTAGTTTATGAACATTTACTGTGTGATCTTACAAGACCCAAAGAAATAATACTAGATTAAGGTGTAAGAATAGTGGTTAAAGCCACAGATAGCTGTTTTCCATCACAACTATTCAAAATGCTTGATAAGTATTGAATATGTGATATATGTGGAGCCCTCAGATAAATGTGGAATTTATTTTGTCCATATTGTTACCCCAAAACAGAACTATATAAAACAGTGTATATATTAAGTTTACTTCTCATGACAGCTAACTTAAGCACTCAAGAAATAGCGAAGTTGTTTAATGTAACTTTATATAGAAACATGTAAGTTGCATTGACATTTTGACTCTTCCACTTACTCCACCTCTTGGCAGCAACTTTAACAAGAGATATTTTTATTTTGTCTCCCGAGACAGAATCATACCCAAAAGAAATCAAGCACTGACCATGTTTCTATGAGTCTGAATGAAGTGATTGTGAACCCTACCCACGTCAATGCATGACATGGCCAGTCCTTGAGGTGGACAAAGTTGATAGTAGTCAGCTATATCAAAGGCCCTATAGAGACAGTTTGTTGAACCTGCTTATTGCCTATATACATGCCGGCCACCTGGACATACACACAAAGGGCGTGGAGGACTTAATACAACTCACTGTTGATAAAAAACCCATGACCATGTTTATGTGGCGTGACAGCAAAAGCCAGGGTCCCGACACTTAGTGTTGTTTACCACTAAGATGGAATTTCAATACAATAATACACATCCTGGTCTATAACTCAACTGCATAAACATGACACAGAAGCCTTTTATGGTTAAAAAATAAGGAGTTCTGTGCTTCTTAACATGTGCTCCTATAATATTTGTATCTGGGAGCTCAGAATCTTTTAGGTTTAACACTGGTGTCATGAAAAGACCTCCTTGACTTCCATGCTTAATTGTGAACAAGTACATGGGTTTCATGGTAAGGAAGGATAACAATACATAGATGAACAACAGAAGCGATGTTTTGTTGTACGACTGGTTTCAAGGAAGTGATGAAAAGAGTATGATTGGGAGGCATCTATACAAGTGTGAGGAAGTCTTTTCAGTCGATTGAAGCCAGGTTGCAATAGTGTGAGGAAGCCATTTAACTGCCCAATGCTAACAAGTTAAAGACTTCACATTACAATGAAGAATGTTTGAAGAAAGCATTCTGACCATGTGTGTTGAGGTACTGGCAGATAAATATTTTCACAATTTAAGCAAGGAAGAGTTCTGAATAATAGAGCTGCAAGTCAAACTACAAATGCAAGCCCAACACCATAAAATGAAATGTAATTAAAATGCTAATAACCCACATGAAACAGCAAGAATCACTTTCCTTGCTGATCATTGATTAACTGATTAGCCAGTCACTATCACCGTCATAATAAAATCATGTGGAAATTTTTCAACAAGTCATGC